AGCTCAGCTTAACACATTTTGCCATGTTTAAATGCATTCCACAGCATTTCTCCGATTTTCCATTATAATGATTGCATAAAAAAAGGTAACCGGTCTGAGCCATATTTTCCATTGATATTCACTTTTTTTTTGGGGGGGGGGGGGGTTATTGATCATAGGGTCTACCAAAAAATGGTACCATGTGGTGAGTTCCCAATATGGTTTTCATTAATAATTAATGAAATTAATTATTTATAGCAAAACATTCATAATGCATGTTTTACAGCCGTAGTTTAATAATCATGTATTAATTATGTGAAAAAACAGAAATAAAACAAAAGATTAAATCAATATCCATTATCAGACACTTAAAAATAATTAGTTTCATTCATACAAAGACAATAATAATAATAATAATAATGATGATGATTCTGGATGGGCGTAAGTATTAAAATCTATACTTAAAATATTACTTAAAGTTTTCATTAATATCAACAATCATACCTGCTTACATAAAATATTCTTTAAAATATACTAAAATAGAAAACAGTTTTTGTAAATTGCAATAATATTTGATATTATTACGGTTTTATTGTACTTTTAATAAAAGAAAAACACCCTTGGTGAGCATAGGAGACTTTCGACCCTCAAGCATAAAGTCTTACCGACCCCAAACTTTTGAACACTAAAATTAATTTAATGTTTAACAATAAATTTTGTAGTTTTGATTAAAATGACTACACTTAGTTTGCTTATCAACTAGTCATTGCAGCCCTAATTAGTCAGCTAAACATTTTATGTAAATGTTAAAAAAAAAAAGCCTAAAATATAATCCTTGTGTGAAAATACTTCTGTGAAAGCATACTAGATTATGGCAAACGCAGGAAAGGAATTTTGAAAACATACAAGACAGGACAAGCAGCTGTTGAAGTGTAAGCTAAATCTGCTCATTGCCCTTACTTGCATATTCCTTGTTAAGTAAGTGGAAACATTTCTTAGGCTTCACGTGTGTTAGATACACACAGCCCTGTGGACAGAGAACAAAGTGGAGATGGGTGTGGTGCGCTCACTTGCTCTAACCTACGTGTACTTTTCTTTGCCCTGCTAAGAGGAAAATGAAAAACAAAGATGTGAATCACTTAGAAGCAGTGCGTCTGTAAATGCTGCCACAGGCATAGGTGTTTAGCTATGGCAAATCTGCCAGAGACTGTTGCTTTATGTAGCTGGTACCAAGCAAAGTGGAACTATCTGCTCAACAACACAATGCCACACTTTCATCTGGATTAGTAAACACTTTGCCTGGCTATGTTCAGAATACCATACTGCTATACTACGCTTTCTATTTCTGTAGTGTAGAGCATAGTATGCGAACTGCATGCATGGAATACCCATCTGGCCTATATTTTCCAATATGTATATCACAGAGTTTACTAGGATGGATATTGTATCCCACAATGCAATGTGGTCAACCAGATGTAATAACCCTTATTTTTAATATCTCATTGATTAGGCTGCCAAAATTTAACAATACACATTTAAAATGTATAAAAATACTTTCTATGATTTTAAAATGTATTAAAAAATGTAGAATTTAAATGTATTAAAATCAGCATTATTTCCAAGATGACAACTAAATTCCACAATTAAAAATGCAATACAATGAGGTAACCTGATATTTCATATTACGGTGCCAACTAAACGTTTTTCGTTACATATTGCAAACCGTTTCAGCCTATTTTTATCAAATTGGAGGCAGTACACACACAACATATTCCAATTCAAACACAGCCAATCAATAGCTGGGTTTCCATCCAAAGCTGCAAATTTAACTTATGCACAAAATTGGAATATCGCATAAAACATTCGCGAACAAGCACTGTTTCCATCCAACGAGTCCAATAGAACAAAATCGTCACTTCCTAGTGAGTTCATAGTCAAAAACCACCTCAAGCAAGCATAAAAACTTTTTTGCGAATTAAGCGTTTTTTTTTCTTTTTCGAAATTTGGTGTTACCATCACTCGTTTCTGATGCAATGCACATAAAAACAGGGTGATGGAAACATAGCTATTGCCATGATCGACTACTGCTCACATGACTTTTAAGTCCCTGAACTAGGAAATGAACTGAAATATATCCCGTTTTAATCAATTTGTACAGAACTGTTCAAAACATTCAAATGGTCCCTCAGAAACATGAAGGATAAAGATAGGAAAGCCTTTCTTTGTTGTGTTGTGAGTTTCAGCTCAGGAGGCACAGGAAGTGAAAATGAAGTCATCTACTTGTCTTAATTACGTAAACCTCTCTGTGCTTATTTAAATACACACTTCTCAGAACAATGGTTCAGACAAAGAGAGGAAAATAAGGGTACACAATATTGGTGCAAAGGTGGCAATGTGTGAAAAGAGCAGCTCCTCACCAATATAAACAAACTTACAGACTTCACAAAATGCTTCAATAACACAATTTTCTGTAATGACATTTTCTATTGAAAGATGTTTTTGGGACTAGACTTATGCTTTGTGTTTTAAAGGGGTGATATGATGCGATTTCAAGTTTTCCTTTCTCTTTGGAGTGTTACAAGCTGATTGTGCACAGATAAGATCCCTGAAGTTGCAAAGACTAAAGTCTCAAAACCAAAGAGATATTCTTTATCAAAGTTAAGACTCTGCCACGACCCCCTAAAACGGCTCGTTCCAACACGCCCCCACATATCTACCTCACTATGTGGAAATATTCTAATTCTATTCTGAATCAGCTACTGTTTTGTTATTAGTGTAAGTATTTGCTATTGACTGTTCAAATACGGAGTTTTGCGCATCGTGTGTGTGCATGTGAGAGAGACAGGGTCACATCACAGTGGAGTCAGCTGTCTTAACCGTGGCTTGTGTACTGCAAACACATACCAGCTTCATCACTGTGTCTGTCACGCGACTCTGTTCCCCTTTCGGGCTTGAACTGATGGTAAAACTAATGACATTATTTACTGTCTTTACATTTATTTTGAAAGCTTAAGCTGTGATTATGGTAAGGGGCGTTACATTTCCAACGAGTGCTTGTGGTGTTCGGCCAATCACAATGCACTGGGTCAGCTGGCCAATCAGAGCAGACTGCGCTTGTGAGAAGGAGGGACTTTGTAGAAATGAAGCGTTTGAGAGAGGCGGGGCATAGAGGATCTACAATAACGTACAGTATTTGAAAAATAATGTTTTTTGAACATTAAAGCATGCCAACATATTCTGTTACACCAAATAATGATCTTTAAAAAAGCATCATATGACCCCTTTAATAAAAAGCCAATGTTTGAATTTACATCACAGGCGATGACCATGATTAGTTACTTGATGTTGCAAGGTGAATCACAATATTACAAATTTAGATTTGAAGCAAAAAAAATTTGTGCAACAGACAAAAAGGTATAAGACTGTGTACTTAACATCTTTAACATGAAACAATGTGAACGGCAAAATCTGATATAAAAATTATGGATAAATATCAAACTAGTTGATTATGCATATAGAAACTATATATTTTACGTTTATTGCAATATATATATATATATATATATATATATATATAGAGAGAGAGAGAGAGAGAGAGAGAGAGAGAGAGAGAGAGAGAGATATTCATATTTTGCAATATATACATACAAATATTTAAATAGTTTGAGAGCAAAGGAAGTCATGCAGTGCTTCTTGGAAGTGGGTGGATGCTAAAGAGCGCAATTTGCTTGTTTTAATTTGTGGAGATTTCTTTGCAGAATCTTGCGTAAATGCAGTTTTTCACCAGGAATCCCAATGTAAAACAATTATTTAAAAATTATTTTGAAATAATACAGGCTGATGGCTTCAACAAACGCATATACTATCGATTAACATCGTTGGAGCTCACAGTAGGTCTGTCTTTAAAGCTTTATACTTTATTTATAAAAAAATTTAAAAAATTCTCATGGTCAAAATGAGTGCCATTTTTACTTCCTGAAACCCAACTGTTGCAATCTAGGAGTCATCTAAATTTGAGATTTATCTTCCCATTAGAAATGAATGTATATTTGAAATATACCCGCTAGAAGTAGTAAACCCTTAGAAGTGTGCTACACCAAGCATGGATTAAAAGCCACAGCACAATAGTGATTTCATGAGGTCTGGACACATGTGTCCTTGCCATGAAGGCTTCCTCCCATTGCTTTGAATGACACGTCAGTGCGCATGCGCAAACTTAAAGCGACTATTAAAAGCCACCCAACTACTTCTGACAGACAATCGAGAGGAATGTGCGAAGGACCAGGACTACTAAAGTCAAACCAGGCTCCAGTGGCAGCGATAAGCGTTTCAATGAAAACTCAAGATGTTTTTCACTGTGAGGTGGATATTTACATCAGGTCTACAATAAAGCTCACTCCTTCGAGATAAGATAACAGTAGGTCAGGACAAGGAGCAAAGTCCTTACACAACGCCTGTCCCTCGCTGAAACGACTGCATGACAGTCGGGATTTAAAGTAGGTCGACCTGTTTACTAAAGAACTGACTGACACTTCGCTGACCAGAACACATGACTGAGCAGCTAACGCTAACCAGCAGCTCAAGCACAGCCTGCTGGACAGCCTAGTCAAGCGCGTTTCTCAGCTCGACAGCGAAAGACAGTGACAATATCACAGCAGGAGAACGAAAGCGCATGTCTTCAGCTCTATCGCACTTATTAGTATCACTAGCTTAGCTTTAGCTTTAAAGAAATAGGCGTGGATTGATCGGACATCAGCTTGTTCAGCTTAAAACCCGCACGCAAAGCACAAATTAACTAACATCGTGAGCTCGCGTCCCTCTCGGTCTACCGCCAGCCTGGATCTCAGCATTTATATCCAAACCCCTGTCCAGTGAAAGGCTGCCTGTGTTCCGGCGGCACGGCACGGAGAGGGAGCAGCGGAGCAGACCGCGCGCTAGGCCCCGTGTGATCTGCTCCATCCTCTCGCGCTTCGCTTCACTTCACTGCCACAGTCTGGATATAAAGCCGCTGCTTCACGTACCTGCGGTGGTGTCCTCGCTGTTACTGTTACTGTCGGGATGTAAAGGCGTTGCTTAAGTGGACGCACTGTGGACGGTGGCTCCGGGCCGGTTGTAGGCAGCACGTCGACTTGTTTCGCTCTGGCAGGGTCAGGTCAGTGTGGGCTGAAGCGCAGCGAGAGAGAGGAAGACGAGCTACGGAAATCTCGCGAGAGGTGGAGCTCTTGCTCTTGATGAATGGGCTGTATATGGCAAGCCGTTTTGACTTTTATTCATTCTCAGGATATGAATTCTTGATCTCAACAATTGCATTTTTACTAGTTAAAATGTTCATTCTTGATATCAGGAATTAGATTTAGTAACAATTGCTATTTTTGATATCTGTAATTGTATTTTCACTAGTTAAATGTCACCATAGGCTGCCATTCAAAATCAATTGTTGATATCAAGAATTGATTTCTTACTAGTTGAAATTCGAATTTCACATATCAGAAATACAATTCTTACTAGTAAAAACCTTTATTTTTGTTATCAGTAATCACGTGGTTACTAGTACAGATGTCTATTCTTGATATCAACAATTTAATTATTGATATCAACTATTTAATTGCCACTAGTGACAATGCTAATTTCTGATATCATGAATGTGATTGTTACTAGTAACAAAAGTCATTTTGGATATCAGAAATTACCCTCCCAATTGTTGATATCAGAAATACATTTTCAGATGTCAGAAATGAACATTGTCACTAGTGACAATTAAATTGTTGATATCAAGAATGAACATTTCAAGAATTAAGAATTACATTTAGAATTAAGAATTACATTTAATTGCTGATATCATGAATTCCTTTTTGGATATGTGCATAATTTAATGACGAGTGCCGCCCTTTATGAATGTTTATGGCGGATAGACGACAAGGTACGGAGCCCAAAAGAGAACGGCACATTCGATTGCCCTCTCATGAAAATAAAACGCTCCTGTAGGCTATTTTTAATCATTATTTTGTTTTCATTTTGGCAGAGGGTACTTAAACTAATTCCGCCTACCAACGTGTAATAATGTTACACAACACTGCAAAAAAAAACATCTTACAACTTCCAGCTTCAGTGGCACAGGTGGTAAAGCTCGAAATAGCTGTTTTTTGATGCAATGGACCCGAGTTCGATTCCGCCTTCTGCCGAACTCATTCTTCTCCCTTTTCACATCCCGTATCACATCGGAAGGGCATATATTTTCAATAAAAATGAAGGAAATTATCGAAAAATTTAAAAAACCGTGTGGCTATTGGTTACATAGATCATTTACCGTAGGGGCGGCATCCATTTAATAATTTTAATACAAATTATAATTTACACTCAATACGTTATTATTGTAGCCTGTACTGTTTTATAATGTAGCCTACTACAATAATGAGGTGCAGATATCGGCCACTATTTGCACTAAGTAGTACACGAACAGCATCAAACTACTATTACTGCAAGAAAATACTCCTATTATTAAATAGTGTAAATAGAATTCATTGTATTCAAATAGCCCCTGCCAAAATCAAATTCTAAACTATCAGCCATTTCAACTGGAAGATGAAGGCTGTGCTATTAATTTTATCCACTAGAGAGAGCCACGGGATAAGGAATCGTCTAAGCCTTTTTCTGTTTTATTGAAAATAAATGCAATAAATGTGTATAACCGTACTGTAGCGGCAGTAGTTTCATATTATTAGTGTGCATAGAAATATGTGAAATGCTCATAGATCATTTACCCCAATAAAACACACTTGTCAAGTTTCCAGACATGATTAAATATATAGTGCTGTACTACAGGGGCAGTTCTAGACCCTTTTTTAAGTGGGCTTCAGCCCCCTAAAACTAATCAGCTATCTGAACGATCAGACCAGTGCTGCTTCCTCATGAAAGTTTATCATTCTCGCTTTTAAGGGCAAGATGGCACGAGTGAGATCTCAATGTGGTATTCACGCGCTGTGATATCGTTACTGTGAACACACAAGATTCAGAAAACTTTTTTTTTTTTTTTTAAGTTTCAGAAGAGTTTTAACTTTCACTGTATGACGTTACAGAACGTTGTCAGGTCCAGTTCCTTTCACACAGCAGTGTTGTGTTTCTGTTAATCTGCGTGTTGACATAAAGATACTCTCCTGCTGCGGTTATTTACTAGCGAATGCATTGTATATTCCGATTACAGTATATCGATGGAACATGTGGAACATACCAACTATACAAACTTTGTGGGGGGGACCTAAACTGAGACATTCACTATAGCAGGGATCCTCAAATCTGGCCCACGAGATCCACTTTCCTGCAGAGTTTAGCTCTAACCCTAATCAAACACACCTGAGCACGCTAATCTATGTCTTCAGGATCATTAGAGAATCACAAGTAGGTGATTTTGATCAGGGTTGGAGCTAAACTCTGCTGCGCATTGGCCCTCCAGGGCAAGATTTGAGGAACCCTGCACTACAGGCTATACTACAACCAGGGCGTCGCTGAAAATGAGTGTATGAGTTTGTTTACAGAACGCTGTTGTCACTGCTGCAAACTCCCATTGAACATTGCATTTCTATGGAAATGGGCATTCAAAATCATATTACAAAATGCATTTGTTCATGAATTAGAACAATTTAAGGTTGGATAGTGCACTTTGTTCAATGTTCAAAAATGGGGGACAGTTAAGAGGTAAAAAAAAAATCTTTACTGCGCTTGTGTGTGAAATATATACATTTCAGTCTTTATATATTATTTGTTTGCTTTAGAGCAAAATCAGTTTGATTTTTTATGATTTTTACTGGAGTATCTTATGCTCATCAAGGCTGTATTTATTTGGTCAAAAATACAGAAAAAAACAGTAATACTGTGAAATATTAAATATTGGTTTTCTATTTTAATATAGTTTAAAATAGAATTAATTTCTGTGACGCAGCACTGAATTTTCAGCATCATTACTCCAGTACTCAGTGTCACATGATCCTTCAGAAATCCTTCTAATATACTGATTTATTAACAGTGTTGAAACTGTTGTGCTGCTTAGTATTTTTATGGAACCTGTGATACTGCTTTTTTTTATTCTTTGATGAATAAAAGGATAAAAAGAATAGCGTTTATTCAAAATACTAGGGTACAACGGGGCTAAAGATAATATGGTAATATAAAAAATATATTTTAAAATACAGAAACAAAATCATTTTAATAAGTAAAGATTCTGAAAGTATTGAAGGAGATCCAATAATAATTGAATATATATTTACAGTAGTAACAACAAATGATATTTTATTATATGATATGGTTAATATCATGTTTTTAAATATGATGGTTTCATTCTAAACATGGTGATTATCTCTAATATGGACACCCAACATAATATATGATATTTACCATCTGAATGTCAACAAATGGAAAAGTCAGCCATCTATTAATTATCATGTTAATTACTGCTCCTTTAGCCCCAACAGCAGGGGCGCTTTTTACCCCAAATACCATACTTTTACATATTCTTTCGTTATTTAAAAACTGTTGCTTTAATAACTTAAACAAAACTGAAAATCATAAAGAAGACATTTGTCTCAAAATATGTGCATTCATTTGATCGATTCTCATTTACTACTTAAATCTACAACATTTTAAAAAACATAAAATATTAGATCAAGCACAGAGTCATCTTTTCACTGCTGCCCCCTATTGTGTCAAGGATCAGACAGATATACACGTGCATCTTGAAAAGCAAATGTTTTGGAAAGTGCTACACCACGTTTTTGTGCCATCTAGTGGTTTAGATTAAAATAATATCAAAGGCACCTTTTTCCAGTAGCCCCTCACTGCAGAACAAAGATCCAAGGGGCGGGGTGGGATCCACATCTAGGGGGTGGAGATGGTAGGTTTAGGGGTGGAGATGGGTGGGTTTAGAGATCAAGGGGTGGAAACGGGTAGGGTTAGGTATATGTAAGGTGGGAGGAGTTGGATCTGGATCCAACCTCGCCCCCTGGATCTTGTGTTCTGCAGTGAGGACCATCTCCCTTTTTCCCCGGGGCGCCTTTAGCCCTGTTGTACCCAGTTAGTCTTATTTTAAAACAGATTTTTATTGTTATATGTCATTAGTTTTTACTAATGTATTGTTAAAAAATTTAAATAAACTGTTTTTGTGCAGTTAAAGCTTCAATTGTTATTTTTCCTATTTCCCATCAACAGTTGAAATATCACTTTTCCAGGTTTTCTACAAATTCTAAAGTTTATACAGTAGCACTATAAAATAAATTAAAATAACATTTCATAACTGTATAATACTATACAGTATTATTAAAAATCAACAGTGTAATACTGTACTTTGACATGGTAAAAAAATACAGTAAAATGTTGTATTCAATTTTACAGTAAGCTAAACAGTACTGTAGTTAGTGTTACAGTAATTTTACTGTTGAATGAAATACAGCAACTACTGGATAATTGTTGCCAGTAAGTTACTGTTAATTTGACAATACATTTTTTACAGTGTAATCTTTTCTAACAATATCTTTATTGAATCAATGTCTTTACTATCACGTTTTATCTATTTAACACATCCTTGCTGGATAAAAGCATTAATTTCTTAAAAAAAAAAAAAAGACGACGAAGAAGAAGAAAAGAAAAAATTTTTGTAAATCAGCATATTAGATTGATTTCTGAAGGAAGACTGGAGTAGTAATGCTGAAAATTCAGCTTTTTTTTCACAGGAATAAATTATATTTTAAAGTATATTAAAATATAAAAATGTTATTTTAAATTGCAATAATATTTCACAAAATTACGTTTTTTCGGTATTTTTGATCGAATAAATGCAGCCTTGATGAACGAAACATCTTTAAAAAACGTACTGATTCCAAATATTTGAACGGTAGTGTATGTGTGTAAGTTGGTCCCCCCCAATGTTCAAGACATGGTTACGGTCTTAATGCATATAAATATAATTTCTGAATACCAAAATGCAACAATTCTTCCCAATAACATGCCTTAGTAAGAAGATTATGATAAAAGAGCCGTTTTTTTTTTTTGTAGTAGTAGTAATTTGGGGAGATGCAGTGTCTGCAATATTTTACATTTTAACCTGATTTTCAAAAAATAAAAAAAGTATAATACGGTAAAGCTACATTGCTTCAGTTCATTAAATCTTCATATTGAAATATTAATATCAGTATAAAGGTCATTATTTTGTTAACTTTACAAAAAT